AGGCTGCTACGGCACTGGGCTCTTCCCAGCAGGGGCTGGGCCAGGCTGCACTCAGGGCGGGCGGCAGCAGTGCTGGGAGTTGGGCTGGGTGGGGGCTGTAGCCACCCAAAAGTTTGGCATAGCCCCACAACCCATCCTCCCATGCTGCCACCGGCCACCCCGAGTGCAGCACAGCACGGCCCAACCCCTGCCAGGAAGACCCCAGGACAGCCTCCCACCCCAGCCCCTTCCCTCCCTGTGGGTATGGGGGCCATGTGTCTGGGATCTGTGTGGGAGAGGGGAGGCTGCCACTGTGGGCTGGGGCTGAGAGGCTGTTTCAGGCTCTTCCCAGTGGGGGCACTAGGAGCACTGCTGTCACCTAGCCCCAACACCCCTCCTGGGAAGAGCCCAGTGCAGCACCAGCGTCAGCCCACCTTGTCCCACGTAGATTCAGGGGCGCACACCCCCCATGCCCTCCTGAGGTGCTTGTCCCCCATCCCTGCACAGGCCTCCACTTGTCCCACCACAAGGCCCAGTGAGGGGCTCTCTTCTCCCAGCCCCTGCTCCTGCTCCTGCTCCTGCCTGTACTCTGCTCCCTCCCTCCCCATTGGGGCCTTGATCTGCCCAGCCCCCCACCCCACAGCCCTTTCCCCTCTCCCTGCCTCTTCCCCCACAGACTTATGTGCTGGGGGGCATGCCCCCAATATTTTTTTCTTCTTCTGCCTCAATGTGCCACCCCCGACTGACTTGCTGGGCAGTGGTGGGGGGTGGGGGGGTGGACTGCGGTAGATCTTGGGTTGCATTTTAGTTCAAAAAGTGATCTCCTACTTAAAAAGGTTGGAGACCACTGGCTTAGACAATATATTTTGTACCCTTCTCGTGTGTATCAGAAAGATGCATCCTCTTACAACTGGTTAACAAGAACTTTTAAAAAATGCCTTCATGGTGCTGCTTTTGTGGTCAATCCATTGTCAAGCTTTGTTTATTTCTGATACAAATGAATTACATTCCTTTCTTAGTCATTTTGGTTAATGTACAGTTTGGGTACTCATTAAATCTTGAATGATAAAAGGAAATGTAGATCTATATCAGAATATCTCCAAAATTCATGGATCATTTAGTTCTGTGATTTTGCTTTGTCATAATCTCTAAATAACAGAAGCAAGTATGTATACAGATACCATTACACAAAAAAACATAAAATGATAAAATAAGATTATAATTTCAATCTCCCATCTCACAGTCAGATCATAAAGCAGAGAAAGGCAGTTTAACAAGAGCATTGTATATGGATATCTGTAAACCAGAATGTCAGGGCATCTTTCTTCAATCATCTTTGCCGTGGTGGTTGGCTACTAATATAGAATTTCAAAGAACAAATGTAGGAAATACAACATTTGTCATAATGGTGACCGTGACAGATTGAACCCTTAGATGTCTGCAGTGAATTTCTTTGCATTTCAGGCATCTTGCCTATTTTTTCTTGCATATCATTCTCCCTGTTCTACTTGAAATGAGCAAAGCACCAAATCCACATTTATTTATGTTGTAACTGAAAATATGTATCAGTATGATTGCAAAAAAGAAAGGAGAGACAAGTTTTTTTTTTTTTAAAAGTGCTTGTGTTTGAAAGTGTTATTTAAAATGTTTGAAAGTGCTATTTAAAACTAGATTTGGCTGTCAGGTAAAAACTTTACTATTGTTACTTTTTTATTAGTAATTAGAGAATTTGATTTGCTGAATTCTTACATATACATTTATTGCAGAGATACCAAGAACTTGTATGACATAGAAAAGCAAAAAGATCTCTCTCTAATGCACAGCATATTAAAAATTTGGAAACAAATAAAATCTATGCGTAGACACCAAGAATATACAAGTACACCTGTAAAGTTACAGTTTCAAAAGTAAGTGAATACATTTTTTCCAGAGCCTTTTTAAAGGTCTTATAACACTTAGCATAATTTTATTGAAATATCAAATTAAAATTTACAGAAGGTAAAATAAAGATAATAGAATCATAGAAAATTAGGATTGGAAGGGACCTCTAGTCCAACCCCGTGCTCAAAGCAGGACCATCTCCAACTAGCAGGACCATCTCCAACCATTTCCAGCTTTGTCTACTTGGGTCGTAAAATCTTCCAAGGATGGAGACTTGACAACCTGTTCCAGTGCTTTACTACCCTCCTCACGAGAGAGTTTTTCCTAATATCTAACCTAAACTTTCCTTGTTGCAACTTGAGACCACTGCTCCTTGTTCTGTTGTCTGCCATCACTGAGACCAGTCTAGCTCCATCCTCTTCGGAACCACCCTTCAGGTAGATGAAGGCTGTTATTAAATCTCTCAGTCTTCTCTTCACACTCAATAATCCCAGTTCCCTCTGCCTCGCCTCATAAATCATGTTCCCCAATCCTCTAACCATTGTTGTTGCCCTCTGCTGGACTGTCTCCAATTTGCCCACATCCTTCCTGTAGTGTGGGGGAGGGGTGTCCAAAACTAGACACAGTACTCCAGATGTGGCCTCACCAGTGCCAAATAGAGGGAAATAATCACTTCCCTTGATCTACTGGCAATGCTCCTCCTCATCATCCAGATCAAGGGCACACTGTTGACTCATATTCAACTTATTGTCCATTTTAACCCCCAGGTCATTTCCTGTAGTGCTGCTGCTGAGCCAGTCAACCCCCAGTCTGTATCAGTGCATGGGATCATTCTGTCCTAAGTGCAGGACTTTGCACTTGTCTTTATTGAAGTTGTGCTATTTGTTTTGGTTCAATCCTCCAATTTTTCTAGGTTGCTCTCAGAGGAGGATTAAGATTTACTGAGGCCCTGGGCAAACACAAGATTGGAGGCCCCCTCCCCTCCGTGGGAGCTGGATGCCAGCAGGGGGAGAGGCCCCTTCCCCTCCTGGTGCAGTAGCTGTCAAGGCAGGGCAGGCCTCTGTGCCCCATGGGGGAGGCTGGGTGGACCTAGCCAGGCTGGGGGTGCTTGTTCCTCCTCCCTGTTCTCCATCCTCTCTCCTCCTGCCATGGATGGAGTGGAGCCCAGCAGAGCGAGGGCAGAGATAGGCTGCCCACTATGGATTCAGGGCTCTACTTTCCCCCACGTGCTTCCTGGACGAGCTGCCTGTATGTCCCTCCCACTCCCACCCCCAGCCCCTGCCCCACTCCCTCCCTCACCGTGGGGGCCTCAATCTGCCTCCCCCATGTCCCTTCCCCTCCAGAGACTTAACTGAAGGGAGCTGCCTGTCCAGCTGTGTTCCTGGCCATGTCTGGCCATGCACAGGGGTGGTGTGAAGGAGAGGGGAGACTATAGCCACTCCAAAATTTGCTGTAGCCACCCTTTCCAGGGCTGTCGCTTCCACCTGCCCACCCCACTCCTGCCCACAGAGGTGCGGTGTTCCCAGCCTAGTCGAGCCCAGCCTCCCCACTGGGAAGAGACTGGCTCCGCCCCTGTATCTCTTGGAAGCCCCAAGCAGGACCCCTTGCAGGCTGCCCACCTGCCTGCCTGCAAGAGGAAACCTGCTGTTTCCCAAGGAAACCCAGGGATTCAGGGGCCCCTGGGCCTGGGTCCTGCTGGCCTGTGCATGAATTTATCTCTGGCTAATATAAATCCTAGCCCTACTCTCCAGTGTATCTACTACTCCCTCAGCTTGATGTCCTCCACAAACTTGCTGGCTCATCTTCCAGGTCATTGACAAACATATTGAACAAAACCAGCCCCAGGATTGACCCTTGGGACACTCCATTTGATACTGGCTCACAACTAGACAGTGAGCCATTGATTATTACCCTTTGAGCGTGATGATTCAGCCAGTTTTCCATACACCTTACAGTCCAATCCTCCAGCCCATACTTCCTTAGCTTGCTTGTGAGAATGTTGTGGAAGACCATATCAAAAGCCTTGCTAATATTAAGGTATATCACATCCACTGGTCTTCCTGCATCCACAGACCAGTCATCTCATTATAGAAGGCAATTAGGTTGGTCAGGCATGACTTGCCCTTAGTTAATCCATGCTGACTGTTCCTAATAACCTTCTTCTCCTCCAAGTACTTAGAAATGGATTCCTAAGTACTTAGAAATGGATTTTCTCCATTTCTGCTCCATGATTTTTCCAGGGACTGAGTGAGGATGACTGGTTTGTAGTTTCTTAGATCTTTTTTCTTTGCTTTCTTAAAGATAGGCACTATATTTGCCCTTTTTCAGTCATCTGGAACCTCTTTTGATTGGTGTGAGTCTTCAAAGATATTGGCCAAGGGCTCTGTAGTCACATCAGCCAATTCCCTCAGCACCTTCAGGTGCATTCATCTGGCCTTCAGACTCGTACACATCCAACTTTTCAAAATAGTCCCTGCCACTGGTAGGTGTTCTAGGGTTTTAGTCCTTTCTTGATTGATGCCTTGCCCCCCAGCAACATCAGGGTGAGATCCGGATTTGGCACCACTGAGATGGTTTGGGTGCTGTTCCTGCTCACCTGCCACGTTTTTGATATTTGTTGTTCTTTTCTTGGGAGGCAGTTCCCTGTAGGTGGCCCAAGGAGATCTCAACCTTGGGTTTCTTCATGGGGCTCCAGTGTCCCTTTTAACCCACCCTCACCACATCTAAGGCCGGGGAGGACTCTGCTTTCTGCAGGTCTTACACTGGGATGATCATGTCTCATCCACGTCACCTGCCTCCAAGGGTCAGGTCGTCTTGGCTATCACTCCTCCCAAAGCCATCCTTCACCTTTGGACTGAGGCCTGGACAACTAAACATGCCAGAGTTAACTGCAACTTAGAAGTAAAACTGAATGTAAGAGGTCAGCGTCCACTGATAGGCTCCTGAGGTCTTGTTTCCCAGGCACCGTCAGTCTTGCTGAGGACTCCGCTGTCCCTCTCTGCCTAGTAGGCATTTGGAAGGGTTGGCTGCCCTGGAGGGCCTCTGCTGGCCCTCTTGAGTCCATGTCCCTTCCCCCTTTCACCCTGCCTGACCTGCAGCTAGGCTGCTTGGGTCCGATCAGCCGACGTTGCCCATCTCTCCCACACAGGGCTCCATGGTCTCCCATGCCTCCCTCCATGCTGGATTGCCTTATGGTGTCAGCAGCCCCTTGTTGTTACTTCCTGCTGGAGTACCTGGGCTCCCTGTCAGGGCCTTGGCTCTCCTTCTGGGCATCCCGGGGGGCTGCTTCCTTCTGGCAGAGCTCCCCGGTGTCCCCCTGTTCCCAGGCCTTGGGCTTCTTGTCTCGCCTACTGGCATCCTCTAGCAGACACTCAGCCTCCTTCCCCTGCACCTAGGGCTTGTGCTCCCTGATGGCATTCCACCCTGCTCCTTCTGGCGCTGGCCAGCTGTGTTTCCAGCTGCCTTTTGAGCAGCCTATGTCTCTCCGAGGCCACGCCCCTGATGTCTCCTGATTTGCAGGCTCAGGCAGGTCCAGAACTGCCAAGCCTGCCCTGACGTCTCTCCCCAGCTGCTGCTCTTTTTCGCCCCTGTGGTGAGTATCAGGGCGTGTCAGAAGGGGGTCTGGGGTGAGTTGGCGGGGCTTTTGCCTCCCCTTTCACGGTCTCTAACCTGTTCTTTTGCCACTGTTGGCTGCTCACCTCCTCCCCAAACTGTGCTGCCAGGTGCAGTAGTCTGGGAGCTGACCTTGCCTGTGAAGATGGAGGTAAAAAAGGCATTGAATACTTCAACCTTTTCCACGTCATCTTCCATTAGGTTGCCTCCCCCATTCAGCAAGGGGACCCAAACTTTCTCTGTTCTTCTGTTTGTTGCTGACATACTTGTAGAAACCCTTCATGTCCCTTGCTAGCTACAACTCCAATTGCATTTGGCCTTCCTGATTCCATCACTGGATGCTTGAACAACATGTCTATGCTCCTTCCTAGTTGTTTGTCCAAGTTTCCATTCTTCTAAGCTTCCTTTTTGTGTTTTATCTCATTGAAGAGTTCCCTATTAAGCCAAGCTGGTATTTTGCCATACTTGCTAGTTTTACTGTGCACAGTGAAATGAAAACAAAATGAAGGGCTTCAAAATAGTCTTAAAATGAAATGAGGCCAGTCAAAATGTTTCAGAAGTTTTGAGTTTCAAAGCAGCAGCCAGGTGGTGGGAGGCAGGGGTGGAGCCAGAGCTGCAGTCCAAGTGGCTCTGGAGCCCCATGTGGCTCAGCTGTGGTGGGGAGCACAGCCCTGGCTCTCCTCAGCTCCTGCTATCAGGCTGCACTCTGTGGGGCTGGCAGAGCCGATGGGAGTGCAGTGTCTGCTCTGCCCGCCTCCCAGTGCTGGGCTGCACTCCAGTCGGCTTCACCAGCCCCATGGAGCCCAGTCCTGTGGCAGGAGGCAGGCAGTTCCACGGGACTGGAGCCGCTGGGAGCTGCTGTTCTGGGGGTTGGTGGGGGGCTCTGCAGCTGCTGGGGGGTCTCTGGG